GTGAAAAAATCATGTCCTGTGGGATGGATCACTCTCTAAAACTCTGGAGAATCAATTCCAAGAGAATGATAAATGCCATCAAAGAGTCTTATGAGTACAATCCAAATAAAACTAACAGGTACGTAGTCTTCATCTTCTTGGCTGTCTTTGCAAAATAAATATGCTCATCAACAGCCCAGATTAATTCCTTTAGAAATTGGGAGTTCTTGGAGATAGTGAGTGACCTGGGGATTGTGGGGGATACTGAATATCCATGGAAGATGTCTTCCTGGTGTTTGCTTCAGTAGAATTTTATTGGATTGAAAGTTCTGACACTTATTTAAAAATATCTTAATTATTTTTTAATTATCTGCTTGACTAGGAAATATGTGGGATTATCATCATCATTCTTAATTAAAGCTTGTATTTCATTTTGTTTTAAATGGCTTTTCTTCCTTTTGCCTCAAAATTTCTAGGAGGGAATCAAATCTGTAATTAAGCATAGTAAATGATTCATATTGTGTATTTATCACTAATTATTGTATCTGTTATCTGTCTTTGGGGCTGGGACAAAACTATTTATGCAGTAATACCTTTAATTTTCATCACTTTTTCTTATCTGACCTCAAATCTGAGCAAATTGTCAAGTAAACATAACTACTAGTTACATGATAGATAAAGCCTCCTTTATGAAGTTCATCAATTTTTTAATCTTAACTTCCAGTTAAACCATTGAGAGAATTGAAGAGTCTAAAACACACTGAACATGTTCAGCAATGAGACTAGCTGTGAAAATGCTCTCGCTTTTTTTGGTAATGTTACCAAATATTAAATGATGCTTTAAAAAAATGCTTTTTTTTTAGTGTGTTGTTCTATTTGACGATTTAGATGTTGCAAAAGAAGCATCAGGAAAACTGGGATTTAACCAGTTCTTGAGGTATTTAGCAATGGGAGCTGTGTGCAGCATCTGAAGGTTTTGCTTAGCACTGTCTCTGTACAGTCTTTTACAGTTAAACATTTTGGGGAACAATTTGTTTCAATAGGAATGAGGATGAAAATGGACTGTTCCAATTTTATTTAAAAAAAAAAAAAAAGCATACAAAATCTACTTTGTTAGAAAATTTTTAAAACAACAAAAAGACAAGACTTGTCCTTTTTACGTTGAAATGTGTTAAAACTGGCAATTACAAGTTGGACTTGTATTTCCCCGAACCTCACTTGGCTATTTTCTCCATAGGCCTTTTATTTCTCAGAAAATTCACTTTCCTGACTTTTCTACGAGAGACATACATAGGAACTATGTTGACTGTGTACGATGGTTGGGAGATCTAATCCTTTCCAAGGTAAAGTAGCAGCTTTTTCAGATATCGTACTCCTGTTTGCTTATTCTGAGGTTCTTAAACAGTAGAAGTTTTACTGGGATTTGGGTTGTAGGTGAACTCACTGTGCTGTGTTAAATGATTTTATGGAGTATATCGTGAATTTTGTCAACTGTTGGGATGTGTGGATAAGTAACTTTTACCTAAAAAGCAGAATTAGATCTGCGAAAAGTACAGTGATGCCAACTAACCAGGATCTGCATGAAATGTCCAGAGAGAGGCTGTGCAGCTACTTAAATCGGGTGTCCTGCAGCTAAAGGGAGAAACAAGGGTTCATGTAATGGAATTACTTTGATCTGTGTGATAGCACTAGTAATGTTTGCTTGCAGGTATTAAACTCGGTAGCGTCATTGCCTCTTTGCCAGAAATTGGTGCAGGCACAGTCCTGTTGGTTGAAGGGACTGGGTGAACAAACCTCAAATCTAGGTTAATTTAAGCTGCTTGTGAAAGTGTGTTTGAGTACCTGTGGTTGATTTCTTCTGAAGTGGGTGAGGGAGGGCTCCTGCAATCTGGTTTTCTGGCAGAGCTGTGAGGGCAGCGGGCTCCCAGCAAAGGGCAGTGATATATTGTTAGTGATTTATTTAGCTGTGACCTAAGGGCAGAGGTGAGATTTTTCGGTTTACTTTTTTTAGTGTTCTTGGGGAAGCTATGACAGGAAATGTTAGATTTAATTATAACTAGGCTGAATGTTTTACAATATAAGTTGTAAATATAGGTAACTTTTGTGTGTGTTCACTATTTCCCTTCTAGTCATGTGAAAATGCCATTGTGTGCTGGAAACCTGGCAAAATGGAAGATGATATAGATAAAATCAAGCCCAGTGAGTCAAATGTGACCATACTTGGGAGATTTGATTACAGCCAGTGCGATATATGGTACATGAGGTTTTCGATGGATTTCTGGCAAAAGGTATGTGTGAGCTTTGACCTTGCTGCATCTGAAGGTGTGTAGCTTTTCAGTGATTTCGTATTTATGTGTATCACAAAAGTCCTGGCTCATGTGATGTGCTGTTTGAGGAGAGAGTTTGTCTGCTGCAGGTGGCTTTATATGAAACTGGTATCTTCTCACCCCATCTGCAGAGAGGGGTAATAAAATGGGAGAAAGAAGGCAAATTATGTAGCAGTTCTAATTCCTTCCATAAATTCATTAAGCCATTCATGTTCAAATACTTGGATACCACTTTGCTAAAGAGCCTTTATAAAATTCTGACTTTCAGTTCTTTCAGATAACATTGTAGAACTTGTATGTTTTCTGCTTTCTTTCACAGATGCTTGCTCTGGGCAATCAGGTTGGCAAACTTTACGTTTGGGATTTAGAAATAGAGGATCCTCATAAAGCCAAGTGAGTACTTCATGTTTAATTGTAGTTCTGCTGACAAAGGGAGTTGGGGCGCTTCCCTTTTTCCTTTACTGATAATTACAGAAATTCTTGAACAGTGGTAACCACTTTCCATTCTAACTACTAGGTAAATAAAGGTTCTGAGTCCCTGAAGGTTAACATTATTCATTTATTTAAACTATTTTGTTACTTACATTATAGCAGTGCCAAGAGGTCCCAATCAAATTGTGCAGGGCACTGTGTGAAGATACAGTAAAAGAATGTGTTTTCCTCAAAGAGCTCACACACTAATTAGGTGGAAAATTTACAAAGCAATTAGGAGATGGTAGGAGGGTGTAGCTCGTGACAAAGGAGAAATAGATGAAAGGACTAAAGTAGTGAGAATATAAAGGTTAGCTATGAGTGTGATGTGAAGAAAACAATATGGCTTTTCAGTTCCTTGCCTGTGTGGCCAGGTGATCTTATTGCGTGTTTTTGTGTGTATGCACACAAACCTGCAATATATATTCATGCAAACGTGCATTAATTTGTGTTTGTAAAAATACATATATGAATGCCTATACAAAATTCCCCCAAATGCTGCAGTCTTCAGTCACCCAATTACCATATTTTATTCCTAACAATTGGAAAAGAACATTGATTGCAAAGTTGTAAATAATGTGATTCAATAAGGTTTCAGTCCATGCTTCCATGAAAATTGATGAGAAATGTCAATGGGTAAAGAGGAAATCACTACTTTCCCATCTCCAGGTTCAGAATACAAAATACATCACAGAGGGTGCAATCCTGTTGCCCTACAAATTCTTCCTAGGTCACATAAGTCAGATGGTGGTGAAACAGCACTTGTAGTAGCAAGTGCAGATTTAACATTGCAGCTGAATAATTTTCTTTCATTTATAGGTGTACGACTCTTACTCATCCTAAATGTGTTGCTGCCATTCGACAAACCAGTTTTAGCAGGGACAGTAGTATCCTTATAGCTGTGTGTGATGATGCCAGTATCTGGCGCTGGGACAGACTACGATAAGTAACTTTTTCTTAATTCAAAGTAGAAAATATATTTTCAAATTATAATATAGTCTGTTAACTCGCTAGTGTGGTAGACGCATTTAGTGTAGACTTCCTCGAAGGTTCAGCAGGCTGGAGCTGAACTTAGTGATGTTTACATTCTGTGTATTGTTCTGCTTGAACTTTGCTGCTTTTAATAAAAAGAAGTATTTTTGTAAAGTTTTCTGAATTGTCCATTTTAATTATTTCCCACAATGAATTTTCAGGTATGGCTTATGAAATACCTTTTTGGCTTGTAGCTGTATTCATCCCTTTTTATGCTAAAAACTTAATGAAGCCACTGAATATTATCCAGGCACCAGACAAAGGAAGTACTACACTTAGGAATATAGCATAAATAAATGTTAAATCGCTACTAGAAATATTTTGAACTCCTTAAATTCATTGCACTTTAAGTTTTAATAATCTCAAACTGGGATGTGCTTTTCACCATTTCTGTTACTGATTTGGGGAAAAACTCTACCAACTTTTTTTTTGTGGTTCACATTGCTGTACTCTGGATTTTGTCTGTTTGGTTACTGGGATTACTTTATATCAAGGTTAGGCAATTAAAAATATTGATGTTGTCAGAATTTCCAAACACCATCATCAATGCTCTACTTGGTCTAGGAATAACTGATTCTAAAATGAATATATTATTTCTTATGGGTTTAAAATACGTACAGCTAATAAAAATGAAAGGGGAATAATTAGTATGACAGCAGATAACATTAACAGTTATAATCTGTAGCTGAAACACTTAAGCTGTATGTATAGTTGAAGTGTTAGTCTGTGTTCTCTGTAAGTGGTCCTAGATGCAGCTGTGTGTACACGTGAAGAGGAGGAATATTGATTGAAGATGAACAATTGAAGGGAGGTGGATGAAATATCTGCAGGGTTGAACACAAGTTAGCTGAAGAGGGAGAGGAAGGTAGTTGAGACTGGAGTTTTTAGCCTCTACTTTAAATTGCAAGCACAGTATAACCTAACATGCAACTGCAACAGGCCTCTGTTATCTCATGGATGGGGAGCTGGCAGAGTCTGAAAAGTTGTTGGGGTGGAGAAGTGATTGGGAGAGCACTGAAAAGGCAGTGAGAATGCTAAAGTTTTGTTTGGATGAGCTAAAGTACGTCCAGAACACGTGGGCTGGAGACTGATACCATTTCACGCTGGGAAGTGCTTTGCAGTAGTATGCCACTAGACTCATCGGCTTTGTTTTTCCATGTTCAGGGCCGAGAGTGAAATGGGACACAAAAGCAGTAAGGATTTTCAGCCAAGGTTGTTTTTTAGGTTGTAAATGCCAAGTTCTCAAAACTGAGCTGCTCTGCTTCTGAGAGGAAGGAAGGGTGGTGGCTGCCTAGAGGCCTAACACAATTAAGGTCAGCTTTAATTTCTGTATTAACTTGTGAATACCATGACCATTGTTCTATTAAACTGTAGAGAAATATTCCAACTGGTTTGCCCTGAGAACATGGAAGGAGATGAAATCACATTCAAGGTGTGGATACTGTTAACATGGGGAAGAACTGGAAAACTGGCAAATGCAGATCTGGAGCAAGACCTGGGGAAGAAATTCTGCTTTACCCAGTCAGCCCCATCTGCTTTGAGGATATAAATCAAAATAGTAACTTGAATACACACCATAAGGGAACAAACTCTTCCCTTTTATGTTCACTTGGGCTTTATGCATCTGAATGCAGAGAAGTGATGTGTTTGATTTGTTCTTTTCTTTTCTGGACTTTCCTATTTCTAGAATCAGAATGCAGATAATCATTATTTTTGACAACGAAATACCTCTTCTGGAAAGTACAGAGCTAGTAGAATGATAGTAATTGAAAAAGAAGTTAAGAAGAGTTGGAGTCTTTAAGAATTACAGAAGAGTTTAAGCTCTAAAGCCTTTAATCTCTTAATAAAAACTTTTAGTCTGTTCTTTGTCAAATTCTGTCATCAGCTCCTTCTACTTCCTGTCCTTACTGCTCTCATCTGCGTTTTGTTAAATCAGACTCTGCCTGGGCTGCCTGCCTCTGTGGCAGGTTCTGTGCAGCTAGGAACCTGTTTCAGGAGGCTGCAAGGGTCAGAGATGTCTTTTCTTTCTAAAAATACAGTGAAGTTTGGAAGCTAATGTTTCCTTCAACTGTTGCACACTGAGCATTTCCAAAGAGATTTTTTTTTCTTTTATGAAGGGATGAAAGGAGTATGTTTAGCCTCAATGTCTAATGATAGCAGACTTTCTTTGTTTTAAAAGGTTTTCCATGTAGTGGGCCTGAACTCCTAGTGGCAAAATAGATTTGTATATGTATTGTATCTGTTTCTCCTGTGGCTTGTCCCCAGACAATTTCTATATACTCTGTTCTCTCATGTGAAAACACCCTGTAGAGGTTAAAAAAAAGTGTTGTTGGGAGATGAGCATCTAATCTATAGATACATACACCATAAATATAGTTTATATTGAACGAGCATTTGGCTGTTTATCATGAAGACAGTACAAAGTCTAATTCCATCTACAGGATCTTCCTTCTCTCTGGAAGGCACAAAGCAGACACTACACCACAATTCAGCCTGACAGGGGAAAATGCAGTAAGAGGTTTATTCTGTTCCTCATTTAGGCTACAGAAATGTGTCTCTGTTGTACTGTAAGCCCTACCTTATTATCTCTCTTGAAAACAAAATGTAAATCTGTTGGGATAGTTTCTGACACTGCACTTCAAAGAACAGAGATCCCCCGTGAAAGGGGACAGACGGGGTTGTGAGTGTCCCACACCTATATCAGACTTCAAAGGAGGACAACAGTCCTTTTTTACTCACCTGCAGTGTTCATGCCGAACTTAGGATGCATACACAGGCTTTCAGCAGGAACAAGAATGATAAAGATTCCCTGAGCATCCTAAACTAGTCATAGCTTCAGATCTTGGACAGCCAGTGAAATGCAGGAGTACCTCTTCCCTACTCATACTCATTTCACAGGTAAGCAAGAAAAAGCATTTATGCTCCAGCAGCTTGGCAGTCCAAATATGCAACCCCTAGTCACAAATGAGCTTGTACTTTCACAGGTGTTTTGAAGGCCACCTCTGTGATACAGTTTGAAAGGGGGTAGAGTATTTCTTCTGCAAGTTTCTATTCTTCAGCAGTTTGGAAAGAAAAGTAATTTACAGTGATGGTCTCACGTGTGTACTGCCTTCTCTAAGCTCAGAGATGAGATCTGGCTGAATGTACTGAGGGTGAGAGTGCTTTAATACACATTGATGCATTATCCAAAATGCCCATAGGTCCATTTACAGCCTTGAAGACTGGAGCCAGGGCAAGAGAAATATACTTGGAAACTACAGTGGTCATAAAGCTCATGAGGGATGGATTTGGCTATCCTGCCCACTTGGTCTAGCCTGGCTTTCCAAAGCCCAAATGATAAAAAGCCCCCCTGTCATGGAATGACCAGAAAGCAGTGCTGACCTGGTCAGAACAGAAGCAGCTTGTTACTCCAGCTGCAGGAGAAGACAGAACACCACTGTGATCTCTCTGATGCTACAAACTGCCAAAATGAGGCTGCTCCAGTTGGTGTCCCTTTAGGTTCCACAACTCATTCTTCACTAAGTCCACATGAGTAGGACTATAGAAAATTACATGAGGGAGCGGTAACACAGAGTACAACATACAGGAAGGCTCTGGACAATCAGCTGGATCTAGGCAGTATCCCTTGAAAAAAAACAGAAATCCTCCACACAAATTCTCCTGTGCTTTTGTTAGTTAAATTGTGCTGGGCCAGAGGGCTGTTAGGTCATGCTGGCATGCATTTCTTAACTAGTGAGGCCTGCAGAAGCCTGTGAGGTGTTAATTATTTTATTTCCACACCAGGCAGACACTTCCCTGTAAGGTGAGAACCTGAGAAGCCACCACCATGCAGCTTTCAGTGCTGTCACAACTTAATGACGCTCCAGTTCCGATTTGGCCTCTCCATCTTCCAAAACTGCCTGTGACATTGTCAGCTATATGTGGCATCTGCACAACAAAGCCTGTGAAATCCTACAGCAGGATTAGATAGGTCCCCCAGCTGACCCACTCTGACAGACAGCTCAGCCTGGACCTTGTTAACTGCCTTTATTGCCGCTTCCCAGATGGGCAGCCCAGAAATGAGTCTTCAGACTACCTCTCTGGTTGAGCAGAGACATATCTGAGGGTTTGGGTCTCTCACAAGGCTTTTGGGAAACAGCTCTGAGCTTTGCCAGCTAGGTTACCTGGGATGGAATTGGTTTTACTTCTCAAAAGCAGCTCTTCCACTGCCTTCCTGGGACTTGTCTGTCTTCTGTCTTCCTCTTGTGGCCCCCAGGTTCAGCTCATGCCCTTTCTTGTGAGTCTCTGGTTGGGTTTTCAGCTATTATGGAAAGAGAGAAAAAGCCCATTTCAGGTGAGATGAACACAGGAAATATCACTGAGCATTCTCATTGGCATTAACACTGTGTTTCTTAGAAGAGTCAGCCCCAAGGCTGACTTACTGATAAAGAAGTCCTTAGGGCTTTGTTCTTCAGCCACTGAAGCCCAAAGAAACTTTTATTTTCATGTCAGGGGCTTCGGGATCAAGTCCTAATTCTTAGTCATGTAAATGAATTTGCAAAAACATGGCAGGCTGCACAGCAGCATTTCTCACCAAGCTAATTTAAATCTGGTGAACGTGACCTGGAGCTCTCCCCCTACAGGATGGCTGGGCACAACTGGCTGAAGCCATCTCTGGGGCTGAATTTATGTTCCTAATAAAGACATCCCATTTAATCCAGGATGATCAGCGTGTCCTCAGCCCAGCAAGGTGCTCTTCCCATCCCCTGGTTTGGGTTGAGAACTTCTCTCTCCTGGTTGGGAGTTGCCAAGCTGAGAGACAACGGTCACCTCCTAGCCACTGCTGGTAACTGATAGTATCAAAATTCAGCTTTCCTGCAAAGACAGCTACTTTCCAGCACATTTTGAAATACCTGCAGTACCTGGGTCCTGCGTGTATTATTCTCTGCCTCTGCTTTCTTCTCCTTCCCCGGGGCAGAAGCTGTCAGGACTCTTTGTGAATGCCACACCACAGCGAGCTTCTCCATCTCCTGGGGGAGCACAGAAAGGCAGCAGCCCACAGGATTGCCCTCCTCTTTGGGGAGGTGGGGGAAACATTTCACCTCCCCTCACCTCTGTCCTTTCTGTCAGTGCTGTTTACCTCAACCAGTAGAAGGGAAAAGCCCTCCTGTGTTACAACTGATTGAAAAAACCCTGCATTTCTCCCCCATAACAGCTTATCAGTTATCTGGGTACAGATATCGTGTATTTCATGAGTGCATGGACATGAACACAGTGTAAAAACAGTGACTTGTAGCTCTGTGTATGGGTCCTTTACAAATCCTTTATTTGGATTTAAAAGGATTTGTAAAGGACTGACATCCACCTTACTAAACGTTTTCACAATTAAAGGTGACACTATAAGGACAAAGATCCCATGCAGCATACCTCTAGTGCTTCGATGTAACGGTCAGGAACAGGGCGGGCAGTTTGGGCTTTGGCTTCGAGCATCTCTTTGCTTCCTGCTTCCTCCTGGGAGCTTCTCCAAACTCCAGACAGCCTCCTGAAAATGCAAGCCAGGAGGAGCCTGAGTGAGGCCTAGTTAGTCCTACATGGTGTTCATGGCAGAGGACACGATTCTGCCACACATGGAAGATCTCCTGCCCTATGTGTTGTTTCTTACTTCTCTCCAACAAAGAGAGGGCAGAAAGCTGGAGCTGTACAAGCCAGCTCTGGTTCCAGACTCCAAGTCGAGGTCAGGAGGCCCAGGCCTAGGCCCCTTCAGTACCAAAGTGACCCCAGAAAATGAGGCCAGCTGTGGTTCTGGGGAGCATGGGCTGACAGATTATTTTTATGTCAAGTAATGGTCTTTCAACTGAAGCGAGAGCTCCTTCGTGGTTAGTCACCTCTGAGCTTTGCTGGCCTCTAGGCACAATCCGAGTGTTGAATCGGAGCTGAGACACTGCAGAGACCATGAAGTAGTGGTTCAGAGGGCATTTGGACCTCTCCTCCCTCTCACAAAACATTGCTAGACCCTGAACACTGCTCTCACAAGACAAAAAGAGCAAGTTCATTTAAATAAAAGGGAGTAAGAAGGTAATCCTCGACTTTCTGGAACATTTTTTTTCCATTCAGTTACTAAAACAGAGCTGTGCACTGGAAGAAGGCTCAGAGTAAAATGAAGCAGATCCCAAGGGTTTTAAAGGAGGTCTGCTACATGCACATCCTCTGGTCGCTTCTTGTAACACCTCAGAGCTCACACACACATGTTATGGCCAAGGGAAACTCCCCTCCCACCATTTCCTCCAGAGGCTCACCTCACTGAGGACTCTCTTCTCTTCACCTTCTCCCCCAGGTCCTTCCTCCAGGCTGACTGCCTTCACTTTCACAGGGCAATTGTGAGGAAGAGCTGACAGAACCCCTGCGGACACAAAACACCACCACTCGTAAAACAGCACCTTGGTGAGGAGTCACACAGGAACTGTCACCCAGACACACTCAGCCAGGCCATAAACACCACTGGACACATTAATTCCTCATTCCTCTAGTCCTAGGCTCTTTCGAACTGCTGGAACTTGTCCAACACTTCCTGCAGATCAGTATTACTCCTGGATAATATTTTTCCCACTTCTTTATCTTTTCTCTGTTGTGAAAGGTTGGTTGGGAGATGCCAGAGACCTAACAGACTCTTTTGGAGCCACGTTGTTTTATAGTCTAGGGGCTTTGTATTGGCCCTGTCTGCACATCCAGCCCACAGACCTTCTCAGAAAAAGTTAATATTAAGCAAAGTGAAGATCTGTTTTGGCACAGGTAAGGAGCCTTCTGTAATCATCTCCAGATGTTTCTACTCAGAAGATAACGAGCTCCATGAGAAACACCATGACTATGGCCAGTTTGAGACAGAATTTGGCATTCAGAAACCTGGGAGGCCTCCCTAAATGTTTACTCCTTAGTGCACAAACCAGTTTAGGAAAGGAAAGGACATTTTGCACCTGGCATTCACCAGAAAGGCACAGTAAAGCCACACCAGCCTTTCAACATTCACATTGAGCACCTGGAAAGCAAGACAGAAGAAGAACACACAGAGTGCTATCACGAGTCTGCTCTGACATTACCTTTCCTGTTAGGCTTTTTCTTAAAAAAATCTTTCATCTTCTTCTCCTGCAGGGGTTTAGTGGGTCTTTCACAGAGGGATTTAAGAAAGAATTCTCCATATTCAGTCTTGCCCTGCAAGCTGCAAACAAGAGCATGTGTATGCAGTGCATGAAGGGCACCACTTTCCTCTGCAGCTTACATGGATGATTCCATTCTGCCAGAGATATCTTACAAGTAGCCCACCTGCAGACCATCATTTTTAAAATGCAGCACCCTCAAAGACTTCAGTAGAAAACCAAGCTACACAGGAAGGGACTACAGTGCCTGGAGAGGAAGGAGGACCCTGTCCATGTCTTCTAAGGTCTTGTTCGAGTCGTCTTGCTAACAGTGAGGATTAATGGAAACCACTCTTGCTCCAAGGGGGGACCATCTCTCATCTCTTATCCCAAGAGGACCCGGAGGACATGCAGGTCTCTTGCTCTCCAACCTACTCAGAGCATTCTGGATTTTAATTTTACCCTCCCATTCACTTGGACACCCTTCCTGACTAGCATCATAGCATCTGGAAAGAGAGACTCCGGCACTTGGGTCACGAAGGGAGCTACTGTGCAGCATTAAACTCCAGACACATCCTGCTGCCTTGCTGTTTGCCAAAAAATAACTTCTATACACTTGCAAAAGGCATTTAAGATACACTTTGCTTGCTTAAATCTCACAAAAGGCATGGGAATTTTGCAAACGTTTGAATGCTGATTTCCATCATGTAGAATCCTATAGAAGGTAGAATGTATGAAACATTTTAAAGTTTGCCTACACTCTTTGCTATGCTCCACAAATTCTGTCTAATGACTGATTATTTTGCATGACTGATGGCAATGTAAAAAGCAATCACTTCTCTACATTACTTCAAGCGAAGACATATGTCTCTCAACCCAACCAGCAGTAAGCATGGAGTGTACTGAGTTACTCTTTCTCAATAACCTCATGAGCAGCAGAAAAATCCTAGTCATGCAGTGCTGCCTGTCATGAGTTGAGAGGCTGCTCACATCATCAGTCAAAGGTGACAGAAAATCCTCACCTGGGAAACAGGATGTCAGGTTTGGTGAGGATGTCAGGAACTCCAGGTTCTTCCTGGGAAATGACCCAACTCATTATCCCTTTCTTCCTCTGCAACAGGGACAGAGAGGTGAGATGATTCCAAGGCAATGACCACGTTGCTAACCACAGCTACCACCATTAACTTGTCAGGTTCTCGTACCCTTTCCCCTAAGCCTTCAGGGATGGGACGCGGGGCCACCTGGATGTGGTTCTGGGCAACCTGCTGTAGGTGCTCCTCCTTGAGCAGGGAGCTCAGACCAGATGACCTCCAGATGTCCCTTCCAACCTCAGCCACCCTGTGATCCTTGGTGTGATCCAACACAGCCATCTTTTGTGCCTTGTATTTCATCAAGACAACTGATTATATAAGAAGAAATCTGAAGAGCACCCTTTATGTTGTACACAATGTCTAAGCCAAGTGGCCAGACAGCTCATGGCACACCAGGGGACATCAGTTTGACAGGGCCTTGAGTCTCAGCCTGAAATCCCACACATAGCACTGCCAGAACAGTAAGACTTACATTGCCAAGAACTTCCTTAATGTTTCCCGTTGTGTCCAGGCTGAGAAGAAATTTTTCATAAAACCTCATTTGGACTTCCATGTGCTTGAAAGAAAGGATGCCCATGTCCCGGAAAACAAAATCAATATTCAGTTCACTCGCGATGCAGCGAGAGAGATACATCACGGTCTCGTTTAGACAGTTCCTCACAGCATCCGGGGGTTTTGATGTCTCCAGGGCTATCATGGTGTAGTCCAGTGGGACAACTGGTGCAGAATCTGCTGTGCAACACAAGAGGAACACAATCATGTAGAGCTAGGTTGCTAATTGCAATCAGCTCCCAGGCCCTCAGGCAATGCAGTGGGCTTCTGGACTCCAGGTGCCATGCTAAGGCCACTGACACTGCCCACCCTCAGTTGCCATGCCCATCAAATGCTTCCAATGAAGAAGGAAAACAGAAAAACTGCTCAGATGTTCTGAAAATTAATCAGACCACCCTAAAATAGCATAGATTTATGAGCAAGTGTGGCAGGTTTTGGGACCAGCAGCCACTGCATTGGAGGACATCCCACATCTATTTCAGAGGGAAAGAAGATTTTACCTGATCTTCTTACCAGGAATAATTCTTTTGGCATAGGTCAGGTTAAGAATCTTTCTGGCAGTGTTGGACAGCTGAAATACAGGCCTGCGAATGAGCAAACAGTCATTCCTTCCCACACACAGCTCTTGCATAAGAACAGCAAATGTCCCCAGTCCAACTATTCTGACATGCTAAAAAGCAAAAGAGGGAAAAAAAAATAATAAAAAAAAAAAGAAGACAGATAAGGATTTGAAGCAAAAGTAGTGTGAACATCATTCAGTTAGAGAGTTTCCAACCCTTGAGCAAGGGTTTCTGACATTTCTGGTAAGTCCTGAATGGATCGGGTCATCGGGGTGGTCTTTCCACTCCAGAAGTGTAGAGCAGAGACTGACAGTATGGATCAGCAGAATCTGCTGGACTTTATTTTTCCTGTAAATATACAGAAAAAATTGATTTTGGGGCAGAATTGTGAACTGCATTTTAAAGCAGAAAAACAACGTCAAAGAATTTAAAGGGAGTGCAATTAGATACGTTAATTCAGTGACTTTGGCAGGGGAGGGGAAATCAGGGTACAAAAACCATCAGAGTATGAGGGGAGAGAGCAGGCATAAAGATCACCTTGCCCGCTGCCAGCTGCCGCTGAACGTCAAGAGATGCCTGATCCCAAATTTGCACGATCTCTGCAGAGAAAATGAAAGCCAAGATTTAAGCCTAGAAAACTCCTGGAGGACCCAAAGGCAGGCCTGGTGTTAAAATAAAACTGCAAGTGCTTGGCACGCAGGGACACACACACGCCCTGCCCTCTGAGCTGTGGATGCCCAGGTTTCTTGTGTGCTATGGCCACTTTTAATCCCTTGTCAGACAGCCCCTAGGCTTCCACCCACACAGTTCCAATTCCTTTAACCAAACAGGAGCCCAGGTCAGCCAGAACCTGTGCTCAGCATCTTCAAAGCCTGCTAGAAACCAGGCCCAGAGCTTGGGGCAGAAGGCAGACACCAGGGCTGCCCTAGTGTCCACATGGGACGAGATCTGCCACCAGACCTGCACACCACTCGGCCCTGAGGCTGACCACAGTTGTTGTACTTGAACATTGCAATAAAAACTCTTAGGGAACAGCTCCAGATGCTCCTACCTTTGGTTGTGAGATATGAGAGCGTTGGAAACAAGGCTCTTTCAGACGCCTTCCAGTCAGATGCCTTCTTCTCCCCTTTCCAGGACCAGGAGAACGAAGCCATGGCTGCCATACCCTCAGTCCAGGTTAACACCTGGACCTGAAAACTTGAAGATACTTCTCTTGTGCTGTTACACCCTAGAGAGAGCAGCCATTTGATGCTACTCCACTGCCTCCCACCTCCTTCAGGCCACAAAGCGGACCAAGAGAAAAGCTCTCACAAGAGCAGCAGGGTTGGGCAGCACAAACCCTTAGGTCACAACCGCCCCCGCTGTCACCTGTCATAAGAGGGCTGCCACCTCCCCTGCCGGGGTCCTGGCTGGCTTTGACTTGAACTGGTCATTTTGGGGAGCTGCTCTATCCCCAAAGCCCCCTCCAAGGAGTGCTGTAAGCCACAGGGAACCACGGAGGGGAACCACAACACGCTGATCCCAGGCTGAGTGAGGATCAGCCCACGTGCTGACCCCAGGACCGTGTCAAGGGCTACAACAACTGACAGGGAAGGAACATGTTTTTACCTTTCCCGACTGATTAAAGCAAGAAGGTTGGTTCTAGTGTCAAGGAAAGAGTAGCTGAGTGTTATTTGGTGAGGCCCTGGCACAGGTTGCCCAGAGAAGCTGTGAATGCCCAATCCCTGGAGGTGTTCAAGGCCAGGCTGGATGGGGCTTTGGGCAGCCTGGTCTGGTGGGAGGTGTCCCTGCCCATGGTAAGGGGTTGGAATTGTGATCTTTATAGTCCCTTCCACCTGAAAGCATTCAGAGAATCTGTAATTCCCTTCCTTAGAGGTTGGAGAAAAAGCACAGACTGCTCAATGAGCATAGGTTTCCTCTCACCCACAGAGGCATTTACTTCAATCACCATTGGTATCTCCAAGGACTGGTATATGAGTCCATCATGAACATCCACCACCCGAGGGTCTCATAGTAAGGTAGAAACCTACAACAGGGTATTGGAAAATTGAATCCCACACCTCTGTGCTATGATATTTCCACACAATAAAGCATTTGTGGAACTTGTGTAGGCTGTGAGACTCAGCTGCAAGCCTGGAATGAGACTGTGAGCTCCAGCCCAGCAGTATGAATGTTTTCCCTCAGAAAGCTCTACAGTGGCTTCTCCTCGAAGAAGGGGACGATGCACACAAAGGCAGTACCGAGAACCCACTATAAGGAATTATGACCATCTCCAGTCACCCATTGATTGTAGTTTGTCATTTCAAAAGCCCTGTGGTGTTTACTACAAAAGACAACAGTGTCCCCTCTTACACCTTGGCAGTTGTGTGGAGGAAGAAATATGTTCTACATTTTCCTCTCAGTGCTTCCATTAAAAAACTCACAGGCGAGTAGTTTTCACAGATTTTAATTTTAAATAATTTTCAAGAGTAATATAAAAGTTACAAG